GAACAACATGATGAAAATCGGCCCCATCACCTTTATCAACATCATTACCACTGCCTTTTTCCCACATGAGTGTGGTCGCTTGTCATTCGTATTTGTGCTCTTGGGTGAAACCAGACTCTCCACATACAAAACCTCTTCACTAAACTTAGGACATTTAAAATATTTCGTAAATAGATTTTTTTCAGTATTGAAGGAAACTAATTTTATTTGCAAATTGTTAAATTCGGGTTTAAATTCTTCAATCTTTAGTAGAAGGTCACCATTCCTCAAGAAACATAACGGTGTGTACACAGTGTCCACGTTACGTGGTGAGATGGTGATAAACTTACTCCAAGATTGCTTCACCCCATATCCCATCATCAACCACGTCTCAAACAAAGGTTGATTTCCACCCTCTGAGTAGTAACACAGTGCATACAAATATCCTTCTAAAACACCCAATCTGTAAAACAATTTATCTGTTCCAACGCCCTTAAAATCTAGGGACATATCACTAAATACCTCCTTTAATAAATCAAAAGAAATAATCACCCAGTCAAGTTCTGCAGAACGTTTCCCTATCCAATGAAAAGCTCCATTCAGGAAGATTCCATCTTTACGCCTGAAAAAACAGGCATAATAACTCCAACTCGGGTCTTGTATTGTTCTCCAAGAATTGTGTCTAAGACTAAACATATGGAATATGATACTTTCAGTGGTACGGCCACCTCCCAAAACTACTTTGTAATCATCGTTGGAGTCGTCAAAGGCAAACCCATAATAATAACCAGTCCAAACATTGAGAGGAGTAATGGGTGGTTCTGGCAATTGGTTGGAGACTCTAGTGGAAGGGTTGTATATGATAACTTTGACTTCATCAACAACATAACAAATTAAACCATTGCAAGAACCAATTATAGAGTGCTTAATACTTCCTCTCCACAACGGACATTCCAACTCCACTGCTGCATTGTTGTTGTTGGCAAATAATGATTCATAGTCCAAAGACGAGGGAATTCGCACACTATTGATAAACATTTTCTTCGGGTGAAGTGATCTATTTATAAGATGCAATTTGATAAAATAGGGATCAGAAATTAAAGAGCGAGATGGTTTCGATACACACCTGAATTGCACAAGAGATTTAACTGGAAGTCTTGAGAGTATGTTCATTTCGATTTCTTCAGGTAGGTTGTGGTTCAGGACAACCATTGCGTCCCCAATTCTCACACAGTGGAGACTTAAAGAAGAAGAAGGTTCGAGGAAAGAGAAGAAAATCCAGAAAGAGAAGGAGATGATCACAACCTTACCTTTGGCAGAAGAACTTACAAATCATCTTTGGTATATAACCTCTACGTTTGGCTGGCCCTTTTGTCGGCTACCGTCAGCTCCTCAATCGAGCGGACCGCACGCCACCGCATGAAGTAAATTCCAAAGTTTATATATATAACCCACAAATATATAAAGGAAATCCAAAAAGCCGTTTTGAGCATACAACCCTCCCACGTGTGAGTGGGCGGTACACCCATGTCATTAATATATCTATTCTCCCACCCTCAATTATCTTTCTTTAGCTTTCTCCGTTGGTAGTGATGTGAACTCTATAAACTATAATTATTCGTGTCTAACAATAATCACAAATAAACATGAATCATAAGGAAATATAGTTAAATATAAATACCTTAATCCATAATAACAAATCTTATTAAAGTCAACTCTAATGTCGAGATCTTTTACCAATGAACTAAGCTGCAATTCTGCACAATAGATAAAGTATGAAAACTGGTTTCTCTCTCTTGTCTTTTGCACACATAAACATTAACATTATAGTGTGTTGTTTCATTAGCGTATATAATTGATGGGATATATGCACTTTTATAAAAGCTGAGACAGACCAGTTTTCCTTTTAGTAACTTTAAATTCACTTTTCATTAAAATAAAGAATATATAAGAAAACACTTCTCCAATAATTAATTACCAAAAAGACAATTTATAAGTTAACAATAATATACTATTAATTTGATATTTATTTTATTTAACCATCAAATAATAGAAGTAAATCACGTGTCCAAATCATGTGGGCCACAAATATAAGAAAATATCTTACAAATTCAACTTTTTAATAAATAACATAGTTATGGGGGAATTTTTTTTTTCAATTTAATAGAATTTTTTATTTTGTTCACAGAGGAAGTATCCCACATTTTTTATGATAAGACTAATCCACCTTGGAGAGCACGCAACACTGACACAGGCAAGGGCGAATTCAAGAATTATCAATGTGGTGGACTAATAGTATTAATAATTTTTTTTTTTATTATTATTATTATTTTTTTTTTTGACGGGGCTAAAGTTAGGTATAGTAAATAAGAAAGACCCAATTCCCTCATTATATATATAGATATATATATAAGGTTCGTTTGACATAACTTTTGCTGCTTCTTTTACGCAAGAGATAGAGAAACAGAAAGTATAGCTTTTATTTAATTTATGTGTTAGTGCTTGAAAAAATGTATTTTATAAAAGCTTTTAATGCCAAAATAGTATTTCAATTCGTTTGCCAAAATATTTGTTGAAGCTCTTTTACAACTATTTTGTCATTAAATAAAGTGTTTTTTTTTTGGAACTGTTTCAAAAGATGAAGATACTTTAAGCTAATTTGTTTTATACAACTCTCTTGTGTATAAATAAACCATTCAATATAATGATTGTATTATAATCAAATTTATCCATAACAAGAAGCAATAATAATAATAATAATTAAGAGATCCCAAAAACTATTTAGCTGTTTAGGAAATTTTGTAACTATGTCAATGAAATTAGCACTTCTACCACATAAATCAAAGAGATAGGAGTACATCAGTATCACATTCAAGTCTGTCAATACATCCATCAAGTATTTGTGTTCCAAATCCCTCACCATCCCAGCCACTCCAACCAAAACACTTTCTTCACTTATGTATCCTTCACTTCTTGATACTATTGGGTGGCTGTTTTCTTACATTTTCGTGGCAACCAAACTAAAAGGGGAATCCGCAGCGAGTTCCATTTTCGTTGAATTTATGAAGCTATCGAAAAAGTAGTGAACAACTAATGGTTTGCTTGGTTTGTAACTATGGAAACAGTTTTTTGATGAAAACGGTACAAAAAAAAATTCGACTTGATTCAGTTTTTTGAAAATTGTTTTATGAACATTCAATTATAAAAAGGTCTGTTTTCAAAAGACTACTCTGAAAACTATTCTTTGTTTTATGAAATTCTAAGAACTGTTTTTAGAGTTACAAATCAAGCAAAGCTTAACTCTCTCGGAAAGTCTTGAACATTCTGGTTCTATCAAAATAATAATAATTAAAAAAATATTGAAGGTTTCCATTTTTCCATTTTGATTCTCATGTTGTATGACTTTATCATAATCTAAATTTCACAATTATTGTATGATATTGAGAGTCATATAATTTTTGATAATACAAAATCTTGTCACTCATTTACAATGAATCTCATGAATGATTTTTTTTTTTTTTTTTCCTTTCAATATTGAATTTTTTTATTTTTGAAAGATAAATTTCAAATTTTATATAAAAATATATAATTTACTAGTAACGGAAAGACAGTTAGCCCAGGCTAACCAGCCATACAGTGTGAAACCCAAGATGACCAAGGCCCAACTTGACCACTAGTCCAAGATAGAACAACCCAACTGAAGCATTCAAATGGAAAGAGCCGTAGCTTAATGTCTATAAAATGAGCTAAATAAAAAACTTATTCATTCCTGTCAATTATTTGTTTTTTTATTATTAGTTTTTTTTTTTTTCAACATCAATATATATATTAAGCACTGAAATTTTCAAGTACTGAATTTTAAGTGCTGAATATATTAATCTGTAAACTTGTTTGATATTGTATTAATTTTAAGCGCTGAATTCATTAAGATTATTTGGTAAATGCAAAAGTTGAAATCTGAATATTGTATATATTACATTTTTGCCTTGAATATATTCTACATATAATATTATTATAAAAGATATTACATTAAAACATAAACATATATATATAATAATGAATTTCACCAAAGAAATATATCAATTTACACTTCAAGAAATTTGGTGTTTTGCAACGAAACTTTTTGTCACTAAATACAGACAATTTGTTGCCAAAAACTTTTTGCAACAAAAAAACTTTGTGGCGAGGTTGTCCCTATAAGCTCGTGACAAAAGGGTTTACGCAACAAAAACTTTTGTCCCAAAAAGTTCAATCTTTTGCAACAAAAAATTTACTTGTCAGGAAAGATACAACGATTAGCAACAAATAATTTGTCTCCATTTCTCCAAAAATTTGTTGCTTAATATAACTCCATTCCAAGGACTTTTGTTGGTAAAAGACTTTTGTTGCTAAAAGGTTGATCTTTTGCAACAAGAAATTTACTTGTCCCTAAAGAGTGACAATTGGCAACAAACAATTTGTCCTTATTTATCCACAAATTTGTTGCTGAATTTTGTTGCTAAATATACAATAATTTGCAACAAAGCTAGATTGTTTCTAAAAATGTATCTATTTGCAACAAAACTAGATTGTTTCTAAAAATGTATTTATTTACAACAAAACTAGATTGTTTCTAAAAATGTATCTATCTGCAACAAAGCTAGATTATTTCTAAAAATGTACCTATTTGCAACAAAACTAGATTGTTTCTAAAATGTACCTATTTGCAACAAAACTAGATTGTTTCTAAAAAATATATCTATTTGCAACAAAATTATATTTGTCACTTCATATAGTGCGATTTACAACAAAACTACCTTTGTCATAAGTGTTAATATTTAACAACAAATATTTTTAGTTGCCAATTTTAAAAAATTTGTGAATAAATGCATTAAAAATCATAATTTAATTTTTATTTTTTTTTTGTTCCCAATAATGTTTTTCTTCCTCTCAATAAACTAATTTATAAAACATCTTTTTTTCTCACTAATATCAAACATGTCAATTAAACAATTATCAATTACAAAATATACAATCTAATATTTTACAAATGAAAGGTAAAATACTATTTCATATATCCAATCATCCATACATATTCCAAATATGGGATCAAAACGAGATTCATATACATAGAGAATGATTAAACCTATATCCAACAATATAGGGAGATAGGAGATCCAAAAGTACAAAAGTGAATTTTTTCTAAGCCCATATGAAACAAAAAAACATAATCAATGGAACTGTAACAAAAACTAATACCATCTACATGTAACTTGCCAACAATGGGGAGATGGGAGATCCACAAATACAATCCCTTGTAATAACCAAAAGTACAAAAGTGAATTTGTTTTGAGCCCAATGAAACAAAAAAAAATATAGTCACTGGTCTGCAACAAAAAGATGTCAAAAAGCTAGTAAGCCCAGCTACCTGCAATCTGCCAATAATGGGAAGATGGGAGATCCATAAATCTAATCCCATGTAAGAACCAAAAGTACAAAAGTGAGTTTATCCTGAGCCCATATGAAACAAAAAATTTAGTTAATGGGCCTGCAACAAAAAGTCAAAAAGATAATCCCAGCCACATGCAATCTGTCAAAAAACATAGAAAAATTATGATTAGTTCAAACCACTATAACAAATTTAAGTTTCTACAACATCTTCTCATAATTTCAAGGCCTTTTTTACACACTAAGAATGCAAAAATACAAACCAAATAACAAACCACAAGATAACAAATAATTATTAGAGCATAAAAAAATATCTTAAACAATTCACATTAATACAAAAGTCAACATGTTTGGAATGATTACAAACACATTAACATGTTTGGACTTCAACTATTGATGGACTTGCAGTAGGTGTTTCTGGGTTCGGTTCTCTTCTTCCTCTTTTTACACTAACTTTACTCTTTAATTTAGAAAATAGGCACCTATTTTGACTTCATCTTCTTCTCCATCACCATCAACACCATCTCTCTTTCTCTCACACACACACTATCAATATAAATATACACACATGCTAATGGTGTAATGATGAAGATACATTTCTTTAATTTTATATAAGCACACATGGTTCTTTAATTGGCTAGCTGAAAATTAGCTCTCTACATGTGCTCTATTGCAAATTGAGGAATATTTCTATATTTTTGGGAGGAGATTAATGAATGTAAGGTTGAACTATGTACCTAGCATGACAGAACCCACTAAGGAGCTAGTCCACTACACCTACTACAGAAATTGGCCCAATGCCTCACTAATTTCTTTGTAATTACTACTATTGACTTAACAAAATTTAAAAATCTAATTTATTTGTAATTACTACTAGTGACTTGACACAATTCAAAAATACAGTTCACTGTAAACTATTCAAGTCTTTCTAAAGGCAAAGTGAGCATGGAAGTGAATTAAATTTTTTACTTTTTTAAAACAAGGACTACTAACCTAAGAAAGAGCATCAAAGTTTATAAACCAACTATTTAGTAATACATCAAGACAATAATAATAAAAAAATAAAAAATAAAAAAAAAAAGACCAGTTGTATTAAAGAACCAATCGCAAAGCAATGCATTTTGCTATAGTTCAGTTCATTGTATTACATTGAAAGGGCAGCACAAGCAAAGTCTCATGCATGCTCCTTCCATAACTAACTAAAATAAACCTGACTAGTCCATAATACTCTTAAAAGACTGATGTTAAACAAATCAGACTTCTCATGCAACCCCCATCATTATTCTATTAGAAATTTCTTTCCTTTTCTTTCAAGTTTTGCTCTCTTTTTCAATTCTTTTATAACTGTCAACATTGGCACTGGGGATTTTTGTGAAATTCAACCAAAATTTGTAAAAGCAATAATATACAACAAACAATTCAAAGTAGCTGTTCTCAATGTACACCTACGTTTGTCACCTAGAACTTTTGCCATTGCACCAAGTAATGGCCCCTCTATGTAGACTATATCTTCTTTCAAATTGCAAAACAGATTTGTCTTATTCATATTTTTGTTAGTGATTCTCTTTGGCCCTTCTCTAATTGGTGCTATAGCTTTTTCTAAATTCATTTCTTATTCAGCTATGTCATTTTTCCCCCCCCCCCCCAGTGGTCTAAATCAAATTATCAGTTCAAAAGTATGCTGCAATTTGTGGAGAAGTTTCTTGATGGCCAACATTATCGGGCTTAGGAGACTTTAGGAAAGAGATACTGTCATGCCTCAATTTTTACTAGAATCTAATATTTTATTTTAAGTGAACCTTCTTCCAGTCATCTATTTTGGAGACATAACAAAAATAATCTACAGATCCTACTTTACTTAGAATTTCTGATTGCACTTTGAGTGAACCTTCTCTAAATCATGTGTCTAAGGCTTTCTGGAAGGTTAAATATTTGGCCTTAAGAGATCTCATGTGCAGCAACTCTTTAAAAATATGGGTCTCCAATCTTTCTGGAAGGTTATGACATGTCCAATTATAATAATGAAAATGTCTTAAAACTTCCTAGTTGTAACTCATTTATTATTCTTATAGCTATAACATTTAGGTTGTTGACAAGGTTAATGGCTATCTTTTCCCAAGGGAGAATATCAAGGCTCTAACAGATCTTGTATTGCAAGTGATATCAAAGGGAAGATTATCACCTCTAGCACGCAATGTTGCATTGCTTGGAAAATATTCTTCTAAAAACTTAATGGTTCAAGAAACTGTCGAAGTTTATGCTTCGCTATTAGAAAATGTTCTCAAGTTCCCATATGAAGTTGCAACTCCCGAGGATTTTAGCAAAACTTATGAAAGATAATTTGTATATATGATTGGTAATAATTAGGCAGAATTATGATGCATTGACTAATCATGACTAATAAAGGGATTCCCTGAAAATAACAAGTAGAAATGCTCCAAGCAAAAGATGAGGGGAACCCAGTAAATAATCACGATAAGGTTTTCCAAGTATTTGGAATCAAATATTTAAAGGTATCCCATTTTGTGACACTTGGTATCATTGTACTCCTTACTAAACTTGCTAAATTCATAATCCAGATTCTAGAATCTAGATTTTAAAAAATGATATTGCAAACCAAAATAATTATGAGAACCTTAAAATTGCTTTTTGACCTTGCTGTATTTTGTTATTTTTTAATTTAGTATCCATTGTAGAATTTCTAATGTAACGGATAATCTTTGGCATTTCCAATCAAATCTCAAGCATAATCAATCAGACTAAAAATAAAACAAGAATAGAGCTAAGCAGGCTAACACTAAAAGAAAACAACCACCCAAGCATAACCAATCACCACCCAAAGAATCACATGCCTAATTTTCTCAAGACAGTTGCCACTAAACAAAAATATTCTCCTTCCAACATCATAAAAAAATTACATTCTAGCAAGTATTAATTCCCTCTATGTAGTAGACAATTAATTGAACTTACTAAGTAGGACGATAAGGCTCCCTGGACAATGAGCCTCCCAGAGCTTGCTGCAGCAGTAAATTAAATTTAAGTTTCAAGGGTTAGGATACTGACCAAACTATTGTGTTTATATATATTTATATTTGAGGTAAGTCTATTGTAAATAAAAAATTTCTTCCTAGGAGCCTCTTTCATTGTATGGGAAAACTTTTATTACGAGTGGGTGAACATAAACACCGTCAAGGTGAAGTCAGAATTGGATAAAAAAAAATTCAAACTAAAAGTCTTGAACCAAAGACCATCCAATTCAATGATTTTTCTTCTTGAGAAAATTAATTCAGTGCCAGCTCAAGAGGCAATAAACAAGCTTGAATTATTAAACTCACAATTCTGATTCTGAATTGCTTCCAAATTACCCAATTAAGTAAAGAACCTACTTATAGATATTGAAACAGCCAATCTAGTTGTTTGGGCTTTCAGATATACCTCTTACAATTCATCAGCATTACATCCCAACAATTTCCCTTATTTTTACTGAATTACAAGATGTAATTATTTTCTGGTACCCATGAAAAAGTAAAGAACAAGTAGAGATTGTTTCTGGCACCATGATATTTTGATCAAAAATTAAAAGGAAAATGCTAATTTATAAGAGTAAAAACCTTCTATTTAATTAGTAATGGTGCATCAATGGGTTAATTTTTTTATTTGAAGATTTTAAAATTACAAATTAAGGTGTAACAACTAGATAGCTAAATATTGACATATCATCTTAAAAAGAGAGATGGGGTTACGGAAATCACCCACAAAAAATAAAAAAAAAATAATTAAAAAAAGTTAAGATAAATTGGATAAGACCTATAAAACCCCAAAGGCCACTTTGTACTCATTGATGACCTCACGACCCATATACAAGCCAAGAACCCAGTCACCACATCCCTTTTGGTTTTACCATTTCCTTGTCATTTTCTCATACCCATGTTGCTTAGCTTAGGTGTTAACAGTACTTACCAAACTTATAAAACTTAGTTTTTTTATTTTTCTTTTCAAGAGAGGAAGTAGAAACTTTAATTTCACTTAATTTTGTGTCGCAATTTTCATTTGGACTCAATTAAGTGGCAAGACAGATCAAGCTTACTTCCCTTTTTAATTTTTAGATACAATATTTTTAAAGAATGTGGCCCTTTCCAACGGGATTTGGTGCTATAGCTTTTTCTAAATACATTCATTTCTCATTCAGCCACGTCATTTTTTTCCCCCCAGTGGTCTAAATCAAATTATCAGTTCAAAAGTATGCTCTAATTTATAGACAAGTTTCTTGATGGCCAACATTATCAGGCTTAGGAGACTTTACGAAAGAGATACTATCATGCCTCAATTTTCACTAGAATCTAATATTTTATTTTAAGTGAACCTTCTTCCAGTCATCTATTTTGGAGACATAACAAAAATTATCTGCAGATCCTACTTTACTTAGAATTTCTGATTGCACTTTGAGTGAACCTTCTCTAAATCATGTGTCTAAGGCTTTCTGGAAGGTTAAATATTTGGCCTTAAAAGATCTCATGTGCAGCAACTCTTTAAAAATATGGGTCTCCAATCTTTCTGGAAGGTTATGACATGTCCAATTATAATAATGAAAATGTCTTAAAACTTCCTGTTGTAACTCATTTATTATTCTTATGGCTATAACATTTAGGTTGTTGACAAGGTGAATATCTATCTTTTCCCAAGGAAGAATATCAGGGATGTAACAGATCTTGTATTGCAAGTGGTATCAAAGGGAAGATTATCACCTCTAACTCATAATGTTCATCGCTTGGAAAATATTCTTCTAAAAACTTAATGGTTCAAGAAACTGTCGAAGTTTATGCTTCGCTATCAGAAAATGTTCTCAAGTTCCCATCTGAAGTTGCAACTCCCAAGGATGTTAGCGAAACTTATGAAAGATAATTTGTGTATATATATATATATATATATATATATATATATATAGATATATATTTATTGACAGTGAACCCTAATTTCATAAGAAAAATGATAAGGAAATGTAAATTAATTATACTTACCAAATATAAATAAAATGAATTGTGGTTAATTTATTTCTAATGAAATTAAAAGCTTTATTTACTTATATGTGTGTGTAAACAATTAAACATCAACAACAAAGCTTCCGGCCAAGCAAGCAACATCCAATTACTTTCCTTTTTCCTTCAAATAGCAAACTAGGTTATGATTTTTAATCAATTCAGATTGGTCATGCAAACCAGCTTATGAGTTGTTGAATTCAAGTAATTTGCTACATATAATTAATTTCATAGATCTTTTTCTTTTTTTTTAAATTATTTGGTGTGTTTGATTTTTCACTAGAATTTCTCAATATCTTCTTGAATTTAGTTGATTTCAATTTCAAAATCAATGATATATTTTGGTTTTGAATTCTGATTCTGGAAAATGTTTGAACACAAATTATACTCAACCTAACTCCCACATTCCACAATTTCACAAGTTGAGATGCATGTAATCATCAACTAACCCATTCTCATATAATTTAATTACTTCAATTATATAATATAAGCACCTATATGCATATAAACGCTTAGATAAGTACAGGGATGTACCAATCAAATAGAACTCTAATCTACTAAGGATGATGTCATTGTCCAAATCACAATTCCCTTGCGACTGATCCACACACTAGGTACAATTATGCTCATGTATGTGTGAGTTAAATCTAACCATATGCAATAAGGAAATAATTTGAACAAGTATAACTATGTGTGTGTGTGTGTGTGTGTGTGTGTGTGTGTGTATCACTCACACCTCAGTTCTATATCTGTCATGATACCAAATATAGCAATAACAATTAATAACAAGATATTAGCAAGTATAACCGTATTAGCATATTCACCTATAATTTCATGGTTACGCTATGCACTGTTATCACAAATAATTTACTAATATCTATATTTGGTAATAGATGTAATTAGCCTATAATATATTAAACAATGAAAATTAAAATATAGTAGAGATCTACTTGCCTGTTACTTCTTCACAGGTTGTATCTCCTCCAAAAGATCTCCCTTCAAATTCCACTCCCTTCCTGATTAATCACGAACTTCCTTCTCAGGCTAAATCTCTTCCTATATAGAAACTTTTTATTATCAGGCGACAGTTCCCTCAAAAAAAAATATCTCACAACAAATGGTGGTATACAAGGCCGCGTGACCAAATTTAAAATTAAAATACTGATCTGCCTAACAATCCCATTTTCCAAATATATATATATATATATATATATATATATATATATATATATATATATATATTGCATCGTTAATATAATAGGTATTATATAATAAATTAAAAATCGTGGACGTATAAATAGCAAGAGAAATATCTTCCTTATATATATATATATATATATATATATATAGCAAGAGAAATATAGAGAGAAAGAAAGACCTTGCAATTGAGCCTACAATCTGATGATGATAAACTAGGGCATCGTCTTCATCTTGAGAAGAAAAGAACAGATCGATCGAGTGAAAGATTTTCCTTTACTTTTCTGTAAATAGTCTTTGGAATTTCGTATGCAGAAAGGAGCTTCTTTCGTTGAAAGCTTGACAGAAGGCAGGGCACATATAATTTGTGTTAAGAAAAGAGTAAAGTTAAATCTCTCACACTTAATTCACGTGCCACCAAAATGTTTGGCGCTAAAATTTCCCACAAAAAAATTGGATAGATATTTTGGGCATTAGAGACACACTGCACGAGTAATGCTTGCATCCTGTGTAGGCCTGCTGACGTGGCTCCATAAAATTTCTAACACCTATCAATTATTAAGATGGGCATTGCCCATCTATTTGCCGTTTTAACCCATCATTTTTATTCTTTTGCCTTTTTCGCATCTCTTTCACCCCCTCTCAATCCCTAAAAACTTGATCCTTCCTCAGCTACACAAATTTTCTTCTCAGTACCCACCGATCAAAGAAAGGCGCAACGAAGCTACCCCAAATCACAACCCATACCCAAATCATAACCCATCGCTGACCTCATCTGGTTCGCCCTTGCCGCCGCCGTCGTCAAGCTCCTCCTCATCCCTGCGTATGCCACTGGCTCTCCGTTACCCATATCCTCCCCCCCTCTCTCTCACTAATACTCCGACGAAACCAATCCATTAACCCTCGAACATCGCCGTTCGTCGCCGCCGATCCTTGAATACCGGCTTGTGACGCTGTCTTTGCTCACCGCCGATCCGAACCCCTACCATTTCATCTCACTGTCATTCCTTGCTCGCCGTCGTCCCTTTCATCGCTGCTTGTCAACGACGTTTCAGTCCTTCGTCCTCCGTCCTCGTTGTTTGTCCCCGCCGATCAGCGATGAAGGAGTAGAATTTGAAAAAGAAATTCGAAACCCAGCCAACAAGGTACTTTGAAGTATCTCTGCTTAAAAACTTTTGCCAACAAAGAACTGCCATCCAGACCGAATCTCGAGCCAATTTTTGCAAGCAAAGCAGAATTAAAGGCTTGCAGTTATTTTAAACCCAGGCCTTCACAATCCTTTGTCACACACACAACCTGTTCCAGCTGATCCATTTGGTTTTGGGGAATTTGAAGAATAGGTGAAGACATAGAATTAAAAAAAATTTCTTTGTGATTTTGGCTATTTGTTGAATTAGTGGATGTCCATTGAAAGATGCATGGTTAACCTTGCGCCATCATATTACAGAGAGAGAAGAGATGGAGAAGGATAGGGATGGCAATGGGTTTCCTAAATTCAGTCCCGCCCCTTTTAATTTATGTAAAGTCTATGCCCACCCCGAGACTTTCGGGTTAGATTTTCAGGTCCAGTCCTGCCTTATTGGGAAATACTGTGCCCCCCGTGCCCGCCTCGCTAACAAATTTTTTTTTTCCTATTTTTTGGATCTTAAACTCCTGTTATTTAAATGTGGAAAGTCTGAAATGGCACAACATAAATTAAATGATATATCCCAACAAAAATAAAAAATTAACTTGCACATAACATAATTCAGATAACATAATAAACAAAAATAAAAGTTTAATACAATCAAATCACAATGAAGTTCTAAACTCCAACTTCCACCATAACTAAAACAAAAGTAAATTTAATACAGAGTTTACATCCCAAATTAGAATTGTAAAAAATGGGTAACTGGGTAAGTCGCTAGGGGTCCCTAGGATATGTATGTTGAACTTTTACCCACCTCGTGACCCGCGATGGGTACAAAATTTGTATCCATGCTCGCTCCAACGGTATAAAAAGTGTTCACATATCCGTTATTAACGGGACGGGACGGGACGGGCCCCAACGGAGCGGTAAAAATTGACATCCCTAGAGAAAGAAAACAATAAGATCAGGATAAACCAGTAAATAGATGGGCAATGCCCATCTTAATAATTGACGGGTGTTGAAATTTTATGAAGCCACATCATATTTTTTTAATTCTTTTAAGAAAGTTTAAACTAATACCCCAACTTAAATTTAATTATTTATTTTTATTATATATATGGTGATGTTGAGTTTTTTAAGATTTTTGTTTTATTAATTATTTTTGAAAATTACTCTCACTATCCTAAAAAAATGTTCCTTTTGAAAAACTATGACTCACTAATATTTTTTTAGGAAAACTTTGAATATGAAGCATGGACATGGACATGTGGGACACGGGTACATACATTTGTGAGTCACAACTTTCTAAAAGGGACATCTATTTTTTTTTTTTTTTTTAAGCAAAAAAAGGGACATCGATTTTCAGAAAGAGGGAGTAATTCTTATAAAATCATCTCTCATCATATAAAGCACAGACATAGGACACGCGTACAACACAATAAAGATTTAATGTTTGAAACTTTTAATCATTATATAATAGACTTCTAAGTTTAATTATTTTGTATAAACAATGCATTTAATTAGTATATAGTTTATGCATGTTTTAACTTTATCCATCATGTAAAAAATAAGAAAATTGATTTTCAAAAAGGAAAATTATTTGTTGGAAAAGTTATAAAATATTTAAATTTCATTTTAAAAAAAAACTATTTTTTTAGTCTAGGACATCAAATTCATAACACAATGGAGTTTTGTTTCGATAATAAATATTTTTCAATAATGTTCGTTCGGTAAGAAAGAAACAATTTGGCTAAGAGAGAGAGATGAATGAGATCAACATTCCTAAAGAAGATAGTGTCATTCCCTATTTTTGTTCATCAATCGGATGTAAGAGAAGAGAATAAGCTCGATCACAATTTAGAGTAAAGTGCCTTTACACACCCATGTGATGATATCCTTACAGTGCACACAAATATGTCAACCCCTTCTTGTGTACAAAACACCATTGATCAATTTGAAAAAAATGTGCAAATACATATCACCAGACACATTAAAGTAATACATTAACCAAATTACCCTTATATACACAATTTTCATATTATTTAAAACAAAATTACATTTATGGAATGACCGAAGAGAACAAAATCTAATATGACCAATCTAACATTTTGGTCACTCTATGTTAACGTTGTTGGGTTCAGCAATTTCATGGGTTGTCTGGGACAGCAATTTTTGTCACCGTCAACTATAGGGTGGTTGCCAACACCAACACTGACGACCCACATTCGCGTAGATTGTCCTCTCTCTCTTTCTCTTTCTCTCTTTAAACTTACTGACTCATCGAGAACTACATACGTACCCACGCATATGTTGTCCAAATATGGTCTAAATATAACATATACTATAATATTACTATTTAAATATTATGTAAAAAAATAATGTGTATATATATAATTATTATTATAAAACAATAATAATATATATAATAAAATAATAATATATATTTTATTATATAATAAATAAAACTATATAAAAATAAAAGAACCTGATCATAGGTCGAGACTACAATTTGATTCTATATCCTTAAGACAGATTCGCTCCGCTATGGTGCTTACGGACTTAGTGGTGTCTATCTCTAAGGATGCAACGACCTTTATTTCTTCGGTAGCAGCATTGCAAACCGAAGAAACAGGCGAACCGGCTTAGTGTAGTACTCTCTCCTATACACTAGACTCAAACTCACATTATGCTCTATGTGTATGCAAGTATGCAAGAAGAGAGAAGGAGGAGGAGGAAATTTCAAAATTAAGATCGAAGAGAATTCTGAATTTTTCGTGTATTTTGCAAATGATCTCAAGCGGGATATTTATAGGTAGCAAGGTGCTTTTTCAGGTGGGTGCAACCATAGGACATCATGGTTCATTCAAATAGAACCAGGTGCAACCCTTTGAATAAAACTGGATCAATTCAAATTCAAACCGAAGCACGTACGTACTGGTTTGAACTAGGTGCAACCCTTTGATACACTGGTTAGAAAAACCAATTTAAATAAGCCCAGCCAAAAATTAAATTAAATCCACACACCAGGCCCAATTCCGTTTAATAAAAAATTAACCAAACTTTACAAACGAGGGCAAAGTACAAGTTGAAATCCACATTTGAAAATAATAAAAATTATGACCACAATTCTGCACCGTGGTAGAAAATTGACTTTCTACCACGGTTTGTCAATTTTCTTGTAGTGAATGTTAAGTCTTTTGGGACAAATAATATTTTTGTTGACAAAAAATTCACAATTTGAAACAAAAAAGAGATTTGTTGCAAAAAAATTAACTTTTTGCAACAAAAATTTTTGTCCCTAAAAATGCATTTTTTTGGCAACAAACTACTTGTTACTAAATTTTAAGTCTATTGGGACAACTACTATTTTTGTTGACAAAAGATATACAATTTGAAACAAAAAAGATATTTGTCTCAAAAAAATTAACTTTTTGCAACAAAAACTTTTGTCCCTAAAAATATATTTTTTGGCAACAAATTACTTGTCACTAAATGTTAAGTCTATTGGGATAAATAATATTTTTGTTGACAAAAGATACACAATTTGAAACAAAAAAGAGATTTGTCTCTAAAAATTAACTTTTTGTAACAAAAATTTTTGTCCCTAAAAATATATTT